AGATAAAGGGTTAGTATCTAAAATCTATAAAAACTTATCAAACTTAACACCCAAAAAACATAATCCAGTGAAGAAATGGGTAAAAGACATGAATAGACACTTCTCCAAAGACATCCCGATGGCCAACTGACACATGAAAAAATGCTCAGCATCCTTCATCATCAGGGAAAGACAAATCAAAACCACAATGAGATACCACCTCACACCTGTCAGAATGGCTAACATTAACAACTCAGGCAACAACAGATGTTGGCAAGGATGCAGAGAAAGAGGATCTCTTTGGCACTGCTGGTGGGAATGCAAGCTGGTGCAGCCACTCTGGAAAACAGGATGGAGGTTCCTCAAAAAACTAAAAATAGAACTACCCTACGATCCAGCAATGGCACTACTAGGTATTTATCCAAAGAATACAGGTTTGCTGTTTCGAAGGGGCACATGCACCCCAATGTTTACGGCAGCACTATCAGCAATAGCCAAAGTATGGAAAGAGCCCAAAGGTCCACCAAAGGATGGATGAAGATGTGGTATATACACACAAACACACATACACATACAATGGAGTATTACTTGGCAAACAAAAAGAATGAAATCCTGCCATTTGCAACTACGTGGATGGAACTAGAGGGTATCATGCTAAGCGAAATCAGTCGGAGAAAGACCAACATCATATGATTTCACTCATATGAGGACTTAAGATACAAAACATATGAACATAAAGGGAAGGGAACAAAAACATGAGACTCTTACATATGGAGAACAAACAGGGTTGCTAATGGGGGTTGTGGAAGGGGGGATGGGATACACAGGTAAGGGGCATTAAAGGATCTACTGAAACCATTGTTGCACCATATGCTAACTTGGATGTAAATTTTAAAAAAATAAGTAAAAATTAAAAAAAATTAAAATTATAAAAAATTTTTAAATGTTTATTTTTGAGATAGCAGGAGCAGGGAAGGCGCAGGGAGACAGGGAGAGAAGATGTGAAGCAGACTCTGGGCTGAGAGCAGAGCCCACTTGGGATCCTCTATTCCACTCTCTCTCAAAAAAAGAAAATTACAAAAAATGGTTAAAATGGTAAATTTTATGTTAGATGCTTAAAAAAATTTTTTTTTAATTTATTTACTTTGAGAAAGAGAGCTCAAACGGGAAGAGCAGAGAGAGAGAGAGAGAGAGAGAGAGAGAGAGAGAATCCCAAGTAGGCTCCATGCTAGCAGTGCAGCAGAGCCTGACATGGCCTCGATCCCACAAAGCATGAAATCATGACCTGAGTTGAAATCAATAGTCGGACACTTTAACCGACAGAGCCACCCAAGTGCTCCACGTGTTAGATGTTTCTTAATCTCAATTTTACAAAGTAAATGTCTGAAGAACAGAATGCTGCTCGCAGGTGGAAGAAACCCTTCAGAGCAGTTTTATCACTCATGTCACCCAAAGAGTTGGATCCTACTAAGATGCAGCAGATCAGACACTATAAACTACAATTTAATTTTTTGTAAAGGATGAGGGCTGGTTGCAAGGATTCTAAGTCATACCTCAAAATTAACTTTCCCAGAACTCCTGCCTTACTTGACTACATCATTGCACACTATTGCAGAATCAGTAATTTTACATTGAAGGAATTTACAACCCCTACCCAAAAAACCTTTTAGTGTAAAAAGGTTTGAAGTAGAAAAGCTTCCTATTGAAGTAAGCTTCTCGTTACCTTTCTCAAAGAAGTTTTGAAAAAGTTTAAACTGCTATCTCCAAGCCACCCTTTTTAAAGTGCACCTGTTGAAAGTAATCAACTGAATGTAGCAGTAATTATACGGATAGTGATTTAAATTGTAGCTTACAAAATGTGAAGGAGAGAAATGGCAGAACATCCCGCTTTGTCCTAAATGTTGTTTCCAACATGACCACCATAGATTGTAGTTTTTATAGTTTCACATTAACTGCAAATAATACACCTCTAACCTTCCCATAATTTTTATTCTCTTCGCCTCCACTACAATTTCCTCTCTGAACCCACTTCATTACTAAGAATAATAGCTCAGGGCTATGAATTCAAAAGCAAAAAACCTTTCCTCTCCTCAAAATTTCTAATTTTCCAACAGACTTCCTCCCCATAGCAACCATTTCCTATAATGTAATGTGTGAAATAAGCCAGTTTTAGAACACATCATCTATTCCTTTATTGATATGGAATACTGCTTTTTAAAAAAATATTTATTTTTGAGAGAGAGAGGCAGAGCATGAGCAGGGGGAGGGACAGAGAGAGAGGGGGAGGGACAGAGAGAGAGGGAGACACAATCAGAAGCAGGCTCCAGGCTCTGAGCTGCCAGCACAGAGCCTGACGCAGGCCTCAAACCCACGAACCGCGAGATCATGACCTAAGCTGAAGACGCCCAACTGACTGAGCCAACCGGGTGCCCCAGAATGCTGCTTTTCTTAAACATACTGTTAAGCGGGGCACCTGGGTGGCTCAGTGGGTTAAATGTCCAACTTCGGCTCAGGTCATGAACTCGCAGTTTGTCAGCTCGAGCCTCATGTTGGGCTCTGTGCTGACAGCTCAGAGCTTGGAGCCTGCTTCAGATTCTGTGTCTCCCTCTCTCTCTCACCCTCCCCTGCTCATGCTGTCTCTCCCTCAAAAATAAACAATAAACATTAAAAAGAATATGATCTTCTTAAAAAAAAAAAATCCCATATTGTCCATATTGTCAACCAGCATTCTTTAACCCAGTCCAGACAGGATTTTCCTACTTAAAATAACAAAACCAAAAACTGTATAGTGTGCTCCATGTCTCCTTTGAGAAGTTAGTAAAAAGATTCTCCATATCACATACTTTGTTCAGATTATACTTAAGGTGAATTCTACTAAATGGCCTACAGGAGAGTAGGAAATGTTTAACAGAACAGTTCTAGATGAACTTGGGAGTTAAAGCTTGGAAAGATGAGCCAATTTTGCTTCAAGTGCATTGTATTCCCTCATACTATAATAAAAATAAAAATCAATTCCAGATGGAAATGCAGATCTAAATACAAAAAGCAAAACAAAGTTTAGGAGGAAAAAAGAACATCTTCATTAACCTCTAGTGAGTAAAGATATCTTAAATAGGATGCAAACCTGCTAAGTTAAGATCATTAACAGAGTGAAAAAATTGTGGTATGTTGACACAAAACACTACACAAAATGTCTGTCTGCATTTTAATGGATGACTGACAGTGGAGATAAGGTCTTTCTGCCTTCAACATTTTTATCATTAAATAAAATTTTATCATTAAATAAAAATAAGGCTACAAAGATAAAATACTTCGTAGAATGTATTATAATGATGCAATCTAAAACTCCCCAATGACACTATCTCCTCTACTGGAGTCAAAATACATCAAATTGCTAGGACACCCTTTAATATGCAGTCTTTTAGACTACCATCTGACATATTTTCTTCTACAACCTTGTTTGCTTAAAAAGAGGGAGAAGGAAAAAAAATGGCCTTTAAAAAGCAAAAAAAACCCAAAACCCCACCCCCCCAACAAAAAACCCCCAAAGATAATAACTTAGAGTGGTTACTATGTGTCAGTTTTTAAAGTAGTGTACCTAAAGTAACCCACTTAATCCTCACAACTACTCCATGAAGGTAGGTACCAGTACTGTCTTCATTTTAGAGATGAAGAGACATCAAACAGCTAGTTATTAAATGCTGAATTCAAATTTAGATATTCCAGAGGCAATTTATTTATGCTTGATTGACAGGTCACAGAGAAAGTTCCTACCAAGGTTGCCAAAAGACGTCTCAGTTAAACAGATTTTCCAGTTCTTACTTGCTCTATCTACAGCAGCTTAAGTGTGGTATAATCTCTCAAGATAGTGATTTAACGAATGTTAAAGGTCTATAAAATTACCGCACCAAATCACGAACAAAACAATATTCTGTCCTTGAAGGTTTAACTTTTGCCATCATTTTAAGAGCCACACTGAGGGAGCAAAACAATTTCTGCTGACCAAAGTACAAAGGAACAGTGGTTCTTACTTACAGAAAGCAAACTGCCCTTTTATAACCCTTTCTCCCTCCTCCTTGACTCAGGGAACTTAAGCAAAAAAGCCCAAGCTTAAATTCTGGCATTTCTGCCTAAGAACTTGGAAGGAAGAAAAGCCCTCTTCCCTTTATTAAGAATGTGTGCTTACAAATAAAGCTTCAGAACATTTAAAGAGTCAGAGCAAAACCATTTGTTAACCACCTTATGAGAGACTTATTCATTAGTTCTTCAATGACACGATTTTCTAGATTATCTGATCACAATTGTTTCACCAGACGCATATCACCACCAGGGAGTTTCCCCCTTTGTGAAATGGAGGAAATACTAAGCTTCCCAGTATTTGTAAGTAACTGCCTCCTATAATACAGTGATTAAAGCTGAACCTGGCACATAGTGAAGGTCTACATTGGACATTTTAAGTGTCGAACAAAGCTTGAAAAATGAGACCTGTCACATTCTAGCTAACACGACGCTTTTAGCAAGAGGATCCTTCAAGACAGACCTACTGCCTTAAAAGTCCCGGCAGCACGTGTCCGCCTGGATTCCCTTCTCCAGTTGCTTTTTGTCAAGGACTGCAGCGAGCGCAGCCTACATTCCTGAAACGCCCATTGGCCCACACCCTGGGGCCAGGCTCTCGGTCGGGCCCAGGAGCTCATTGGTCGTCGCCTCAACGAGGCAGCCGCGCCGGTTCCTCCGCCGCACCGTCACACTCGCCGCACTTGTGCGCGGAAAGGCAAGGGGTGCCTAGCGGTGTGAGCGCCACGGGAAAGGCCCAGGCACCTTCGCAACCGCCTGTACTTCCATTTGCTCTCTGCTTTCCCAAGACCACGAGAAGACCTCTTCTTTTCTGCGCGATCAGCCCAGCGCTCTCGCGTGACTGCCGGGGGTGGGAGGCTGGGGCCCCAGATTCCTTTGCAGGCTTAGGCATTAAAGGTATTATGTCCTGGCTCGGACGGGCCTCTAGCCCGTAAATTTAGACAAACCTTTCTCCACCCCGCACCTCGCCCGGAACCTGCCGATGCGGTAACAGGTTACACACCCAAGGTCAAGAGTCTCCGGGGCCAGCCTCGGTGGGCTCCGGGGCCGCCCCGAAAAGGATTTTGGTGCAGAGCACGTTAGGGCGGCGGTGGGGCCCAGCCACTGCGACACCACTGCTCCCGCCCAATCCCCGCCGCCCGGGCGCCACATGCTGCCAGCGCCGACCGCGGGCGGGAGGCCTGCGCGCCAGACCCTCAGTCCGAGACCGGGAGAGCCCCCACCTCCCGAAGCACGCTGAGAGAACGAGCCCGGCTTCAAACCCACTCCCTCCCTCCC